GAATACATTCAAAAAATAATCAAACATCCCAACCTTAAATACTCAATTGGGTAAATCAAAACTGTTCCCAACACAGATAGTATTAGATTGCCTGTAATAACATTGTACGATGTAATCATCTGATACTGCATCATCTTATTTCAAGCATTCTTCAGGAACAACCAATAACTATAACAAGAAAAAACTGTGTTAAGCTGTGATCAGCATTGGTTTGCTTTCTGGAGTTTGCTACCCAAAACCACAAATTTGTAAAATATGTACCGGCTTGGTGATCTATGCTGCTTACAGAGTATAGAAGTAGTGATTTATAAAGAAGAAGGAAATAAGATATAAGAAAAATTGCAGACATTGTAACAAAAATTGCAACATACCCTACAGGCACAACGAAATGAAAGTGACCCAAATTAGAAATGAGAAGCAAAGCAGACTTATAATGGTATTGATTTTTAAAATACACTTGTATTTTCTTTCCTTGTATCCAAAACTCTTATCTAAGGGTTTGTTACAACTTTAATTTCTCTGCTTAGGATCATCCTAATTGTGCAGCTTTGCCCATGGTGAAAGTCTGAAATAAAGAGGTCAGTGCAGTGTGTTTTAATAGATTTAGAATCTGCTTTCCAAGGGGAAAAAAATCCTTATTCAATATGTTGTAATCCTAAAAAATAATACAGTACATCAGATGTAACACACACTACCAAAATAGCAGCAACAGAAAAACTTCCTAATTGGAAGTACAACAATTAAACAAATGTAGGCAACAATAAATAAACTTTTATAAACAGTTCCCAAGATGCAAGAGGGGCAACGAAAAGGCCTTGACATATCAAAAGGTTTTAAATATTTATCTTAAGCTTTGGTAGATTTGAAGTGGTACATGTATAGTCTTTGAGATAAACTCAATCCCACTTATAGTCTTAACATTTATAGCAGAGTATCCTTATTAATGGTTCTCTAAAAGTAGTCACCATTCCTAGTGAAAAGGAAGAAAAGAAAAGAAATAAAAGGAAGAAAGGTAAAATGTTGACATAGGTCTGGGTCAGGGGTGGGTTCTACTTACCTTTACTACTGGTTTGCAATGGGGCCTCATACGCGCACTTGCTTCGCTCTCTTGCTGCACTCTTCTGTGCAAGCACAGAAGCATTTTCATGACTTCAGGGTCAGTGGGCGGAGCCTCCCGCCAATTTTACTACCAGTTCTATAGAACCGGTGCAAACTGGGGGCAACCCACCACTGGTCTGGGTATAAGCTGATATTTAATAAACTGTATAACATCTTCCTAGCTTGAATAAAGTAACTTGAATGGTGAATTCTTAAATGGCAAGATGGAAAATCAATTTCTGTATCCCTGGACCTGGTTTGATTTCCACTGTTAATTGAAAATTCTAACCTGCCACTTGTTGCTACTGCCCTATTGTTTGGAACTGAATTGCCAACAAAGCAGAACTAAAGTGGTCAGCATTTATAAACTAGCAAAATTTGCATAAAAGGTTTAGGCCTGTTTCAGAAATTACTCAGAAGTTCTTCTAATCTCACATAAGTTCAAATACATTTCTCTCCTATTCATTAAAGCAGCCCATACCATTTCAGAAAGAGAGAGAGAGAGAGAGAGAGAGAGAGAGAGAGAGAGAGAGAGAGATGCTTTTAGAGTAGCATTAACTGTGACCTTCGTAGTACTATAACTCTTGTCATGTCCTAACTGGTTTGAGGATTGAGCCAAATTTGTTCCAGCTTAATTGTGATGTAAATGAAATGCTTTGGCTCTGTTTAGCCAATTTTCAGGCTTATCCCTCTTTCTGATCTTAACCTTATTGGTTTTCAAAAGGAATGGTGACTTGATAGTTTTCCTCACTGTATTAGGAATTGCTCAGGTATCATCATCATCTTGCATGCAAGAGAAAGCAAAGATGAGGATCGAAATAAAAGCAATGTTTTGTTTGCAAGGGAGATAGACATGAGGGGATGACTTCAAGATTGTAGCATCTTATATTACAACAGTGGTTAAATGACCATCTTTCCTTCTTGGTCCAGAATTTTGAGGGTGGAAAATTCCTTTTGAGGGGAACAGAAGTTTAGGATTATCCTTACCATCAGAAATTTTATAGCTAACTATACATTATGCATAAATTAAGTCAAACTTCTCCAACTTGTAGTATTTGGTACTTCAATTTCCAGAATTTCAGCAAAAAATGTCACAAAAATTATGACAGGATGCCAAGATGAGGAGTGCTGAAAAAGGGTAATTGAGATCCAACTTGCAAAATCAGCTTATTAAAATGAAGTTGAAGGAGGAGAAGCAATGAATGGAACAAACCCTTAACCTTCTTCCCAGGAACCATTTCCCTGCAGTATTTAAGGTCAAATAAACCTTTGAAACCTTATGGGGAGAAATGGCCTGAGGGTGTTTTGGAGTGAGGAAATAAATGGGCTGGGAAATTGTTAAGTGCCCCATCACCCTGCTACTTCTCTGTTCTTCCTTCTTTGTTATTAGAGTTGCATTTGACTTTGAAAATGGCATTGGGCTCAGTTAAATGCATGGGTGATTAGTAAATAGTCTCTTAGAGGTAAATTTATTTATTTAGCATATGGCATATCATATATAGACTACCATAGCAATATATATTAACATTTCACCTAGATTATTAAGACACAATAAAATATGTTCAAATAGCAAATCTAGGCCAGTGATGGCTAACCTTTTTTTCCTCAGGTGCCGAAAGTGTGTGTATACACGTAATAGTGTGCGTGCGTGTGCCCACACTCATAATGCAATGCCCCCCATATCCCCCGAACCCCCTGTGCATGCACACACGATCCCCGTGCTCCCCTGCCCCCCACACATGCATGTGTGACACTACCGTGCCCTGTTTTGGGCCTAGCAGACCTCCCTGAAGCCTCCAAAGGCCAGAAATGCCCCATTTCCGGACTTCCGGGAAGCCCATTTTTCACCTCCCAGAGCCTCCATGTGAGCCCTGTACTTATCTGGCATCCAAAACCGGCTCCATGGAGACTCCTGGGAGGAGACAGGTGGCATGGTTGGGGCCAGCCAAAAATCAGCTGGCCAGTGCACACGCATGCACAGTGGAGCTGACCTAGGGAAACAGCTCATGTGCCTGCAGAGATGGCTCCATGTGCCACCTGTGGCACGCATGCCATAGGTTCGCCATCATGGGTTTAGGCCATCTAACTATTGAAGTACAGTATCATTTATATTGAAAAAAAATCAAATACTGGACTAGTATATCCCCCTCAGCTTACCACCAGTCATGATGTGATCGACAGTTTGACATGGGACCCCATAGGCACACTGAGGGGAGGATATTATGCCCCACTTATACAGAGTCCTGGCAGATGCTATGTGAGGTGTGAAACTAGCTCGTCACTTTATGATGTACTCTGGATAGCACAACAGCATGAACTAAACAAACTAGCAACTGCTGACAGCCAGACTATTCCGTAGACTTTCCTGGGTCTCAAAATACACAGCAACAAAAATAAAAACAAAAAAAATGGACCCTTTTTTAGAGATAAAATAAGATGTATCCAACTTGACTTTCAGTAGTATTACTGGCAATATAATCTCTGTTTGAAGAGTGGGTCAGATACACAGAAGAGCAAGAAATAAATATACACACATACATAGACATAAAGAATGATTTGCCAGAACAAGATCTACAGCATATTTGCAAGGTGGAATTGCAATATGTTGTTCTTCAATAGTTCCAAGGCAGATAAAAAGTACATCTGTCAAGAATGGTACTTTTCTATGGACTAACAAACACAAACAATGGTTAAAATGATGGAACAGATTGTGTCTTTCTTTTCAATCTGCAGGTGTGGAGCTCATTACTGAATGCTTTTCCATGATTAATATTTCATGAAAACACAAAAATAAATAAATAAATAAAGTTAGAAAGAATAAGAAAAAGAGATAGCCCTTGACTTATAACTGATTCCTTAGCAATCATTTAAAGTTATGGTAGAGCCCCCAAAACAGCCATTGCAGTGCCTCTACAGCTGTTCATCCTTATGATTGACCATGGGGGTGCTGTAGATACCCCACCACCACCTGTCTCCACCCATCCCTTCATTCTGGGTCTCTATAGATCTTAAGCCTGCTTCCCAACCCACTTAGAAAGCAAAGCATGAGGTGTCTCAGGAGGTGGGGGATGCCTTGGGAGGTCCAATGAAGGGGCTACACTAGATTTTCCAGGGCACCCCACAAGGGCCCCTGAGGCATCCTGTGCTCTGCTTAATGATCTACATGTTCATTTAACACTTGATCTTAGCCAAAAAGCCAATAAGCAAACTGGATGTTCATTTAACAACTGCATCAGAAAGAGCAGAAATGAGGGGTTGGAAATGAGATGATCACATGGGCACTTTACTTAGAGACCATCACAACTTCCAACCATAATATTTTTCTCAGCTTTCTACTGATCAGGGCTGTCTTTTAGTTCTGCACACTTTAGAGGACTTCCAAAAAATTGAAACAGATTCACCAACAAAGTTAATTGGGAACTATGAATTCCATGAGGGACCGGAATAAACTGGGCCTAATAAAAGAGGGATATTGGAGCACTCTTTAAATGCCACATAGAAAAATGGCATAACTTTTTCCCCTTCATCAAAGGAAATAGAGACTGAATAATGAAGCTAAATTACAAGAAGATAGGCTACAATTGTAAATTAGGAACAGCATCTACACCAGTGTTTCTCAACCTTGGAAGGTTGAAGATGGGTGGATTTCAACTCCCAGAATCCCCCAGCCAGCACTGCTGGCTGGAGGATTCTGGGAGTTGAAGTCCATCCATCTTCAAGCTACTAAGGTTGAAAAACACTGATCTACACATTAAGAATGGATGTCAACAGAAACAGTTCCTTGAGAAGATGATATGTTCAAGTATGTATTTCCTGTTTGGGATGAGGCGGTGAGTATATGTCTCTTGTCTAAATAATTTTCAGACTCCTGAATTATCGAACTATGTGGATAAGGCTCTTCATTATTAGTAAATAAAACTTTTTATTACATAAAATTTCCATTTAATGATCTATTAGAATGGCAATCAAATGTAAATGTTTAACAGTGGTTTAATTTCAACTGCACCATTATCTAGTGAGTCAGGCAAGATGGTAAAAGAAGACTCTTCTACTGTTCTGTTAAAAGATATCCTGGATCAGGTAAAAGTTGGTTAAAGCTGATCCAACAAGATGTGGCAGAGCTCAAATATGATCTAAAACAGACACAAAAAAGAAAAAAAGGCTCACTATGACAAATGATTGGGTACCCACAGTTATAACATTTTGGATAAACAAATTATTTATCCAGAGTCATAATTGAGAAGGAAAAAAATATGTGTTGATTGGCATTGACAAACCTCCAAGTCAATCAAACCTAGTTGAATTTATGGAGCACTTCTTTTCAGAATGGGAATGGATTTGCCAGTTAAAATTAATCATGTGACTGAAATTCTTTTAATGAGAAGGAAGAAAAAGTAGAACTAGTTCCGTATTATTTTGGGCAACTCCTCCATATAGCCACAACAGAAGAAATTTTACATATATTTTTCCAATGATCAGTAAAGTCTCCTTTGAAGTAGGATTCTAGTCAAAGCAAGTTATCAATTTATCTGATTTCACCAAGGAGGTTTCAGAAAAAAAGGAACATGTTTACAAGAGCTCAAGCCCTGGCTCAGATCATTACAATTTCAAAATGTCATGCATTTTCCAGCCATATTCTATGTTGATTATCAAGATCAAATCCGCAGATTTGATAATCTTCCAAATGCAGAGGCTTTAGCCTACCTTTAAAATCTACAGATAGATAAGTCCATACTTTTTTGAGTTTATGTTTTGGTTATCTCCAAAATAAGAGACTGTGCACATATTACCAATTCTACCAGTCATTTTTAACAGACAGTATACTTCTTTTTTTCAATCATTATATTTGGAACTGTGTAATTTTCAGTGTAAAATTTAAAATGAAAATGTCTGTATTTGGGAAGTCATCAAGGTTTTTTTTCCCCTTCTTTTTACTTACATATATTCTTTTTTCACTTTTTAAGAGTTTTCAATCTCTTTAAAAATATCACTTGTTTATTAATTACATTTTTCTTCTTTTTTAAAAATATATTTGTGTGTGTGTGTCTCTGTGTCTCTCTCTGTGTAATAGAATGGTATTTGAATGTTAAATTAAGTCTTTATGGGGATTCTATGTCTGTGAGCAACACTAGAAAATATGTTAAATATTTAAAGATAGAAAAGTTAATGATTAGATATTTGTGAAATGGTATGGGTCATAAAATAAATTAGTATCAAGAGAATATAGATAAGTGGGTGAAAGCAAAATTTATGCATGAAGCTAGTTAGTGTAAAAGGGTTCAGAGAATATCCAAAATAAAATATAAATCTTAGCATATTTAAAACCATTAAAAACAGATATTGCTTATCTACAAGAGTCTAATTTAATGGAATAGGATAATACTGTATTAATGACTGATTGGGTGGGACAGGTTTGCCACACAGATACTTCAACAAACGCTAAAGGTGTGTTCATTTTGGTTCAACAGGATTCCCTATTAATATCCAACAGGTTATTACTGATATAAATGGGTGTTATTTAATTTTATGTGCTAAAATAGCACAGAGTGTAATAGCTATTGTTCACGTTTATGGACCTAATTTAGATCTTCTGCAGGGGTGGGTTCTACTTACCTTTACTACCAGTTCGCAGCAGGGCCGTGCGCATGAATTGAAATATTGGGCAAAGGTGATTAGATGCCTATCAGCAATTTTATACAGAGAAATACAGGAAAAGAAATATGAATTAACTACTATAATGCCTCAGCACACAGAATTTATCCCAACATACTTATGGCAGGGAGAATGGCAAAAGAGCTGCTAAGCCTTTCACTATTCAACCTGGAGAAAGATAGGGTGATCATTACAATTATAAAGGTGAAAGAGATTAAATTGATAAAACTTCAACGGGCATAAATTGTCGATTTTTTACATTTTATTCAGAATTGTACAGTATTGAATGAAGATAGAGTCCTTTTTAAATAAAATTAAGTTCCACATTTAGATGTTATACAAAACAATTTTTATTTGCTTTAATATTTGAAGTAGATATTAAACAAATGATTTTTAAAATGACAAATGATAACACCAGTACTAGATGGGCTCCCTACTGAGTGACATAAAACATTTATAAATCTTTTGGTGCCAAAATTTTGTCAAGTACAAGAGGTACTAGAAAAGGCAATTTTATCACCAGCATTTAACTAGGCTTATATAAGAGTTCTACTAAAAGTAGATAAAAATCATATCCAGTGTGGTAATTATTTTGTTGATTAATGTCAATATAAAGATTTTAACAGCAAATATATTTCATAAAGTGATATTGGTGCTATTAAGTATGTTCAAGGAGGACTTATAAAACCTAGGCAACCATCAGATAACATTGGGTTAGTTATGGATCCAATAGAGTTGAAATCTACTCAACTTGAAAATTACAAAGATCTATTTGTAATCTTATCATTAGATGCTGAAAAGCTTTTGATAAAATACATACAATAAATGCTACACAACTGCTGTATTAAATAGATTTGGATTTTGTTTGGAATTTATAAAATTGATTAAGATATCATATGGATTATCCACATCTAAACTGAAACTTGATGGCACATTTACACTTACTTTTCCACTCTTCAGAGGAACTAGATAATGATGGGCATGTCTAGCGTGTGTTAAAATGAAAAGCTAAGATTATCTCAAGTTACCAGACCATCTGACTAGATTGCATTCAACACCATCAATTACTTAGAATAACTTTATGAAGGTCTTAAATAAATGAAATTTCTCTTTTTCAGGTAATTCAATCAAACCAAGGAAAGAAAGGAAGGATGCTATTGCATGAAAATATTTTGTCAAATGTAGACAAGGTTCTGTTGAATACTGTCCAGAATAAGACATTGAAATGAAACATCTCAATACTTCATATACAAAGTAATTTGAATTAATGATATTTTCAAAAACTCAGTTTAAATAAATCTCATAAATAATCAATAAAATTCATAAATACTTTCATTCTCCAAATTTAAGTCCCATTTGGTGTTATCTAATTGATAAGGTGCCTTTATAGAGCCAAGGCATTGTTTTATACGAGCTAATTCCCTGCTTTTTATAGCAATATTTTCTTTGATGAATCAAGTTTACTGGACCAAACTCTGTAGTTAACATAAGAAAACGGCTTTTGTTCAGAGCAAGAGCAATACATAATTTCCTGTTTCCTGTTATGATTTGATTTCTTTGAGACCAGAAATCACAGGTCTCAAACAGTTTTGATTGCTCTCTCAATATTTCAGCTGGAAAAAATCATACTTTTCTAAGTGACACTTTCAACATTTGTCATAGTAATGGTAGTATACTACTGCAGTATATACAAATTCCTGGCAAATGTTGAACTGTCCTTGCTTTAATTTTTTTTAAAAAAATATAATTTAATGAAAGAAAGTGCAAAAGAGGGTACAGAATAGCTTTTTCTGTTGTTGTTGTTGTTGATGATGATGATGATGAAGATGATGGTGGTGGTGGTGGATTTTAAATTTTAAGATCCCAAGTAACCCAGTGGCTCTGGCCTAGAGGGAAACATTGGCTATCTCTTCCAAAATAAGCCCCTTGTGTTCATTCAAGATTAATTATGACTCATAACACTCTGATACCCACTCAGTTAAAAAAAAATTAATTATAAGTTGGTAAAGTAAAAGCATAGGCATTAAGGCAGGAAAATACAGGGTTAAAATAGTAGCTCAGAGTAATACTGCAGTAGCTTTGTGCATCAATGACTCTAATAAAATTTCTCTCTGACTTTCCACCTGCTAAAACGGTATATTACTTGCTGGTTCAAGGCTTCTGCTAATGCCCAAGAAGAGGAAGCTGTTGACTAATGTGCAACAATCAAAATAAATGCCTAATGAACCTTGAAATGAGCCTGCCTACTGGAAACTGTCCCCATACCTGAAAATATACCCCTATAGTTCACACACCAGTGGCCACTGTATATGGAATGGAAATAACTATTATATCACTAATATAAATAACGGATGCTGGAGGAGATCTTTGGTGAATGAATTTTAAAATTAGGTTGTAAAATTAGATTGGCTTTAATATCTCAATGAAGTTGAAATTATTAGGTGGAAGATTTGGTGGAGATTGAGCGTATCTGTTAGGTATTATCCACAGTTGATTAAAGAAGACTATAATAGAGAATCATCAAGTTAGAAAGGACCAAAGGTCACTGGAAACCAATAGCGTCTATTCATCAGCCATCCTTTCGCTTGCCCTGATCAAAGCAAATCATGGCACCATACAGAACTTATATGCTGTAGCCTTCAGTTTGCACTGGAAAACCTCTGAGCCGTAGGCTGCCTCCATCTGTGAGCCTGTATACAGCCTTCATTACATCAGTGAATTTAAGAATGAAGTGGGTGTGAGAGTCATTTCTCACAATGCCAAAATCAGTGTGTCTGAAACCAAAGTAGTCCATTACTAAACAAAAGGTGGGTAGAAAATAGTAGCCTAAAGCAGCCTTAAGAAGAATGGCTTCAGTGCTATCATAATACAAGATTGTGTGTGAGAGAGGCATAAGACTTTGAACCTTGATTTTACTTCAAATAAGACTGGCAATTGAGGCAAAGCAGTCATTGGAATTCTTTTGTAATAGCTTTATTAGCTTTGCCACAGTAAATGTACTTTTCAGAAGTTCCTCTATCCTGAATGTCTCATTTATCTGTTTCTAGCCCAGCTTGTCATGAGAAGCCTGATAGAAACAGAACTGTCCAGTTTCAGGTTTTGATGATTGCAACATTTTTGAGGTATTTACATGGTTTAATATTCCCGCCACCACTATCCATTTTTCATTTTTTTAATGTCATAGTCACCCCTACTTCTACCACTTCAGCTTCCACAATAGCCAGAAATCCAGCAGAAAGTGCCCCATGAATAGATTGTCCACTCTTCCCATAGGAGGACATCAAAGCACAAATTAATTATGGGCACCCTAGAGACCTTCAAAAATTATTTGCAATAATTTGTAATGTAGTGAAGAGAGAAAATATTCTATGTAGGACTGGAGAGTAATTATAATGAGATGTGTGTACTACACCCTATACGATAGTTTGTGTAATTTGGCTTCCAAAATGGCCCTGAAAATTTAATCATGCCTGTTTGGGCACCTGATATAGAATCATGATACATTTTTGATATGTGCAGAAAATTTAGCCTGTGAAAAAAATGTTTATATACTTTCATGAAATTGATAAGAACCAGTATCTAGGAGCTGTGGTGGCTCAGTGGTTAGACTGCAGTACTGCAGGCTACTTCTGCTGACTTGCCAATTGCCAGCAGTTTGGCAGTTCCAGGACCCAGATTGTTGAAGGCAATATGCTGACTCTGTAAATGGCTTAAAGAGGGTTGGAAAACACTGTGAAGCAGTATATAAATCTAAGCGTTATTGCTATCTACTTACTGCAGTTTCTGAGAACAGCAATAAGTAGAGAAACATGATTTTTAGTTTTCCCATTGAAATTTACCCTGTGATTGAACAAAAATGTCACCCTGCTAAGTGGCTTCATATCATTCTAATGGGAATTAAATTTCACATAAAGGCTATGAAAGATACACTGTGAAATGTTGCTTACTGAGCAAACACTTCTAGATACCGGTAGCAAAAAAAGAAAAAAACAAATGGCTTCCAGTGTATTATGAAAAGTTATCTTAAAAGTGTTGCATAGCAAATAGCATTTCCAAATCTCATGGTTGAGAACATGAGCCAAAAACCTAAAAATTGGAGAGGTCAAGAACTAAGATGTCTGTTTCATGAATGCTAGGATCACTAGTTACTTTTGTGGGACAAATTAAAAGAAATTGTCAGGTTTCACAATCCTTGATCATGAAGAAGTCCACTATTCTGGATGAGAAGGTGTAAGTATCTGTGAATAGTTTTTCACTGAGTTTCTTTGATACTTGAGGGTGATCTATGGATCAGAAACCAAAGGAATGACATTGTTGTTTTCCTTCTAAATTATCCTGGGATTCCATCTCATTTCCTCCTTTATTCATAGGCTTGATTCAATATGATTGTACCCAGAGTGTTCATCGGGTAATTCCATTTCCTCCACTGTGACTACTTTATTGCTACCAGTCTATGGAGATTCTCAGTCATCCAGTTCCTCGAAGGTGCTTTTTCAAGAAGCAACTGGACTTTCGGGCTTTATTGCTCAGTTTCTTCAACTTCAGACATTGCATGTGATCATGAGTAAATGAAAAACTCTATGCTTTCTCCATGCAAATAGTTAGGCTGATTGCATCATTGTCTAAAGTTAGAAAAACATTGCCAAAAAGGCATTAAGAGTTGTTAACCTAATCTTGCATAGCTTCTTCTCTGGTAATATTGTATTACTAACTAGAGCATACAAAACATTTGCTAGATCCAATTCTCGAATACAGCTCATCTGTCTGGAACCTGCACTGCATATCGAACATAAATACAATTGAGAGAGTCCAGAGATATTTTACGAGAAGAATCCTCCATTCCTCTACCCACAATAAAATGCCTTATGCCACCAGACTTCAAATTTTGGGCTTAGACAACTTAGAACTATGCCGACTTCGATCTGATCTAAGTGTAGTACATAAAATTATCTGCCACAATGTCCTACCTGTCAATGACTACTTCAACTTCAACCACAATAATACACGAGCAAATAACAGATACAAATTCAAGGTAAACCCTCCAAACTCAATTGCAGAAAATATGACTTCAGTAACAATGGTCAATGCCTGCAATGCACTACCTGACTCTGTGGTTTCTTTCCCAAATCCCCAAAACTTTAACCTTAGACTTTCTACTGTTGACCTCACCCCATTCCTAAGAGGTCTGTAAGGGGCGTGTATAAGTGCACCAGCGTGCCTACCGTCCCTGTCCTAATATTCCTTTTTACTCTTACTCTCTTCATGTATTCAAATTATGTTTATACTTTTACCTGTTATCTTATATATGCTTGACAAATAAATAAAAATAAATAAATAAATAAATAAATAAATAAATAAATAAATAAATAAATAAATAAATGTGTGATATCAGCAGGATCAGAATTTCATTGATGTGCTATCGTGGTAAGTGTATCAGGTACCATAATATCTGACTGGGGTTCACAATGTGCTTTGTCCCTGACTGTCTTGCACTGGGCAGAGCTATACAAGTGTTGGTCATACCTGCTCATCTCCAGCAGAAAAAAAAGGATCTTTAAGCTAAACTTAAATGACTAAAAAATGACAGAAAACATTCTGTAATTTGACCAAAGCAGAAGCAGACCCAAACCCCACCACCGGGACTTCAGAATGTAAATATTAAAACCATTTATTTTATAAATTATTTAGTTCTAACTTGACTACAGTGTTAAATTTCATTCCTTCCCTGTAACAATTTCTTGGAGGAATTATTTTAAAATTATTTTGTTTTCAATGTGCTGTTGAAATTCACCATTTTCAAATGAATGAGTGAGGAAGTAATACTTTTCTCAGTTGACAGTAACTTGATGGCATATAATCAATCAATCAACCAACCAGCCAATCAAACTCTTCCCTATAAGGAGAATCCCATAATGAACTATTTCAGCAATGCAATCAGCGCAAAGGACATATGTCAACATTCATGTCTATCTTACTGAGTTATCGTGATCTTTTTACAACAAATATGCACCAAAATTCAGGGTACATAGCAGTAAGCCATAAAGTAGCTTATTTTAGTTAATATTAAAATATGGGCTCACTAAACTTCACATAGCCTTAAGGCTTTCTTAGCAAACCATGTTTTTTTTTTTAAAAAAAAAAATCTGACTTAATTGAAATTGGTCAGAGAAAGAAAAAGATAAAAATAACTTTGTCTAATTGTACACATAGAGTGAGACACATAAATTCTGCCTTGTTATCTCTGATGATATTTCATAACAAATGATCCCTCTCCCATATCTTTAGTTTTTCAACTCTATTTTTCTACAACACAAGCATCTTCTAAGCATCTCCACAGGATTGCAATGAAAAGCAGTAAGGCTTTCATTCGAATGGCATAAATCTTGTGAGCTTTGGAAGAACCTGTTTGCATCTGGGTGAACGTTTCACTCATGGGGAAGATAGCATGTACTATGCTGATCTTTTTATCTCCTGCTCCTCTCCCAGTGTTGACTTTTAACATCTCTCTGGTGCTTCAATATGCCATTTCTTTGCTCACCCTCTCTTTAGTTGCAAAGCAATGGTGTGTTTCAAGATCAAAGTTCCTCTCTAAGGCTCTCCTGAGATCCTATCAGTAAACAAAGAGAGCCTTTCTTCTTTTCTTTGTGGGCATTATTGTGCCATAGAAGGGATTGATTTTTCTTTTTGAAAACAGAACTTGAGATGAAAGTCTCTTGCCTGCATAGTTTATACAAAAAGTTTGTAATATTTCCTTTCTCCATAGTGCTATAAGACCTCTAGCAGGAAGACAATTAATATGAAAAATGAATGTTTTATACACTAAGAAATGAGAGACTCTTTGAATATCAGCCTCATTAAATCCTCATTACTTACAGTTGAATCTGTTCGAATTATCCTTGTAATTTTCCCACTGCTTTTCTGTTTCTTCCATTATTCTTACTGGCAACATTTTTGTCATATTAAGTGTCCAAATTTATACAAAGTACTTAATTATTTTGACAGTATGTAGGAAAACATGTGTGTTGAATAAAAAGCAGGTTAGCTTATATAAACTATTAAGTGCATAGCTAGGAAAACTAAGAGAAACTAAGCAAGTGAAATGAAGGAGGGAATTGTAGCTCAAAAGAAAGAATATAAAGGATTTATCAAATTAAAGGGAATTATCAGCCAAAGTAATTTTATGTGCTTTGTCCTCATTGTTATTTTGTATGGAATAAAGCTAAAAAAAGAAGACAGAAAAGAAAAGAAATAAATGAAATAAATTATACCATTAAAATGAAAATCCGTTTTTGCATCCCGAACAAACCCAGAAGGCTTTAATGAAGAACAAGATGATAGCTGATTGGATTTCTCCATAGAGTTAAATCATTACAGCAGAAATATGGCCATCTCTTATTAATTTCGGTTCAGAAAAATTAATTGTATCATACACATCTACATTTCAACATCTCCTGCTCATACTGCACTATCAGTCAGCTTCTGCAAGACAAAGCTTTAGATCATTGTACCAATTAAATGAAAAACAAATTCTTCCCCGTCATTATTCCTAAAATCTGCTTTTACAAAGTTACATGTTAATGTGCATTAAATAGCCACTATCCATTATACAGTGTGTGACATTCAAGAAGCGGAGGAGTTTGGCATTTGATAATTCACATTATTTGAGATGTGATATCTGGTGTTTGATTTTTTACAGTTGAATGGCATTTCCTATTATTATCTGTTTGCTAATACATAGGAACTTCCAGTATTTTAGAAATTGCTTATTGAGCTATTGTGAACCCAGGCAGAAAACATGCCTTCCAACTGCACTCATCTCCCTCCAGCAAAAAAAAAAAAAAAAAAAAAAAGCAGAAAATATATATTCTTTATATGTATTAAGACCTCCTAAAGAAGGAGTATCAGTGGGTTCAATTGACCTGGTAGATAAAGGGTTACTATTAACACCATACAACAAACTCCTTTACCTTATAAACAACACCTTGGATCCTCTTTACTTGCCAGAGTAAAGTTATTCTTTACTTCTATGGGGTTTCAATGTTTCCTGATGCTTAGATTAAACCCCAATATTCCCTTTCCATGGGGAGCAGTAGTGTTCTTTCTTCTCACCCTTATTCATTATGAGAAACAAGAAGAATATTCCCAATACCATCAATATTGGTAACTTCTTCAGTAACAATAGCATTCATTCATACTTTTCTTCGTTTCTTTTTTGGTGCTTAAGATGGTTGCCTCTAGATTTACAGTGAATCGATGAGAACATTTTTCATTGTAGGATGCCATATCCTTTGTCATTTAAGCTCCAACCTATGGCACATCTTTTAACTGATTTTCTGATTTATTTTTTTCAAGGGAGATCATTAATTGTGCCGTGATTTACATAAAACATTCTCACCTATCACTGCTTTTTTTCACAAATCAGAAATACTAATTTCCATTTTGGCAGTGGTTTGCTCTCCAAGCTTATTTCAGTTTAGTTTTTGAATGTTTCGTTACCAGACTAGGTAACAGCAGGATGTTCTTGTCCTATTCTCCTTCACTTATAAATATCTTGTGTCAGTTTGGTCAGTTGGTGATGTGATTGGTTGTTCATTTGGAGCTATATTTAAATTCTGAGCAGCTTATTGGTTCTCTTGTTAATTGGTTATTTGAATACTACTTTTTATCCCAGTAAACAGAAAATTTCTTCCCTACCATCAATGCTTACTGTAGTCCATTAACAGAGTACAGGACTCTTTACTTAGAATTTCTTACCCACATTTAGGAATTCTTTCTTTCTGAAAAAGATGCACATTTCTATTTATTCTTTAATAAAGGCTAATTAAAGACATGAAAAGCTGTATCTTGATATAGCCTAGCGGCGGTATATGTTTTCCAGTTCAGCCTTTTAGGTTCAACTGTTCAAATTGGAGAAGGTGAGACCTGGAGGTAGGAGTTTAATAAAGTATTATTATATTTGCAAAGCACAGCTGAAAGCCAGTCTGCTTGCAGTGATACTTTTTCTACCATATGATAAATACCCTGCTTCCCACGCATCCAAAAAAACCCCAACGTAATACATAATTAGACCTCTATAGCATGACCATTTGTGATCATTAGGATTCTGATTCACGATGGTTGGCTGCACTTTAGACATGATTTTTGTCTCAGAGCAGATGCATCAGGATTTGAATTTGAAGAACACTAACTGTGGGAAATTATGTATCAACATCAGAGGTGGGTTTCAGCAGGTTCTGACCAGTTCTGGAGAACCGGTAGCGCAAATTTTGAATAGTTTGGAGAACCGGTAAATACCATCTCTGACTGCCCCTCCCCCCATCTATTCTCTACCTCCTGAGTCCCAGCTGATCAGGAGGAAATGGGGATTTTGCAGTAACCTTCCCCTGGAGTGGAGAGGGAATGGAGATTTTACAGTATCCTTCCCCTGCCACGCCCACCAAGCCACACCCACCAAGCCATGCCACACCCATAGAACCAGTAGTAAAAGAAATTTTAAACCCACCACTCATCAACATGATATTAGATAGTACACAGAAAGTACTCTGGTGTACATCTCAACCTCGGGCCTTATGAAAATAGTGCCTGAAGTGATGTCATAAAGACTTACAGAATATTGGAACCTGATAGGGAAAGAGTAGACTTCCCCATCCCAATCACAACAAGACTGAATGGCCGTTTGAATCCAAGGATGGATATTATGATCTTGTTCCAAACTGGTCTGTAAACTGGTCCTTTTGGACTTATAGCTCTAACATGAATGGAATAGCATTTCCCCTAAAATTGAAACAGCTGCAATACTTTTGAACTGAAGAAGTCCACGAAGACCTGGTTGTTCCAGCAAACATTTGGGACTGGAGTAGAAATCCACTCCCATTCTCCCTTAGTTTCCTGATGGTCCATATGATGGTCCAGGGAATGTTTCATTATACATTAGGATTAACTATGATTAAGAACCGCTAATGTATTATTTACCCCTAGTTACAGCTGGAGCGTATGCCATTTAGAATGAGTTGCAAATACAGCAACTTGCCTGAGAAATAAATATTCCCTTCTGTATTTGTGTCAAAATATTGAACATAGCGCTCAAAAATAGCTCACTAAGCTAAATCTAATCTCAAACCATAAGGCAATAAGCCCCCACTGTGATTTAGTGTGCAGAAACTTCAAACAAGGATAACAAAACAAAAATAAGTCAAAGAAGCTGGGTTCTCTCCCTCCCAACCTTTTTCACCTGCATGGGTGCTGATTAAATGCAGATCGGAGGCCATACAGGGCAGACTATAGTATCTGCATGATGTGTTCTGGCTGGACATTTTCCCAAAGCTTGCTTGGGAAAGCACTTGCATTTAAGGAACAATACTGCTTCATATTTCTTTCATGATAATTGTCTGATCTTCATTGCTTTCCCAGTATATAGTTGCTATTTTATATAAAATTAGACAGAACAATGTTACTGTGATGGCAGTGGAGCAGATCTTGAGCAAAGCATCTAATGCATGCAATCCTTACCAATTCAATTATGGCACAGGAGGGATATTTAAACCTCCTTATTCTTTTATAAGGTCCCAGTATACCTACTTCTAAGCAGTTATATACACAGAGCTAACAAATGTCAGATTATATACATAGCATGCATCTAATTATCCTTTAAAGTGAGTTTTCCTGTTTGGATCAAAAGCCCATATATGGAGGAAAGAAGAGCTAATCTTTTTCAACCAACTTGTTTTCCATAATTACTCTCGTATTGACAATATATACAGGTATAAAGGGACTTCTAAAACACTTTGCATATATTCCCCTGGATTTATTTTATTTTTTTTAATTTTGCAAAACGATTGGTCTGAAGGAGAAAAAATAGGTCTATAAGAATTCCTCATCTAGATTAGACATTGTACACTTTCTCTAGAATAAAATAAAAGCAGCAGGGTAACTATTGCCTACATATTTAATATAAAATGTAATTTAGATCTCACATTACCTATTTATGTGAGGATTCCAATTTGTGCTATTAATAACTTGGCATTAACCAGTGGTGCAAAGAATAAGGAATCTTTCTCTCACTGTGGCAATTAAATACTGTAAGCAGTAGAAAGAAAAGTGAATTAAGAGGAAAATTCAAAAGGTGTGAAGGAGTGGGCAGGGTAAGGAAACAGTTGAAAGTCAGAGGGAGCCAAAGAGTTAAAAAGTTAAAAAAAAAAAAGTGGTGGTAAGGATCCAGTGGCTAAACTACAGGCTCCTTTGTCTAGGATTAATCAAATATTTGATGGACACCACACAGGTCCTCTGACCTTCTATATTCTGCATATAGAGAAGCAAATAGAAGAATCCTATCAAAGACAGATTGGGAATGCTAGAAAAACTACCAATATTAATAAGACTGAAAAATCTTGTTTCATTGTACATTAAGATTACGATTGAAATGTTATTAATAGAGAAAATGATGTGTAAGTAGGATAGTAAAACATGGGAAATTAATTAATAGTGAGTAATTGAAAGAGCAACAGGGAATGATCTGGCACTATCTACTTTCAGAGTATCAACCAAAACCAAATGTGTACCTTCACCTAGAAAAATTGGCCGATCTTTGCTTTAAATATATTTTTTCCAACTCTTACTCTTCTCTTATGGATCAAAAATGAAGACACCAGGACTGCTGCACAGGTAGTTCTTGACTTACAATTACAATTGGAACCAGAATTTCCATTGCTAAGCAAGGCAATTGTTAAATTGAGTTGTGCCTGACTTTACGGCCTTCTTTGCCACAGTTGTTAAAAGCAGCAACTTTGCTTATCAGAATCCAACTGGGAAGGTTGCAGATAGTGATTGAATGACCTTGGGATGCTTTGCCAATTGCAAAGCACTCAAATTTTTATCATGTAACTATGGGAATGCTGGAACAGTCCTGCATGTGAGGATGAGTCCCAAGTCACTTTTTTCAATGCTATTGTAACTTTGAACAGACACTAAAGAAATGATTCAACGACTACCTATAATTCTGAGTTCCTTTCAAGAGTGACTTGCAGAAATTATAAAGCGGGATTATGATTCTGTTGAGTTATATCATTTGTCAACTGGCTTTAGCCCTTGCAGAGTACCACTGATGGAGCAGCAATAGTGGTGAATTTTTCTGCTGCTATACCAGAAATCTTTTAGCTTCTATTAACAACTCTCCTTAGCCAGAAATCTTCTCCTTCGTCAATTGGCCCTGTTTTATCTAGTTTTCTTTACATAACAAAAGACAATAGAGATTGCATACAAATATACAAGGTATATTATGCAGACTGATCATTAAAATATTATTTTATTGTCCTATTATTAATGCCCCATATTAAGTTTTACTTCTCCTTATACAGCTGTGAGCCCCTGCAATGAATGTTATGTATACATTTTATAGCACTAAAATAATAATAATGAACCCATGGAGATGTTATAGTGAAATAAGATTATATACCCTAAATGGAAAATACATAATAGACATTTGAAATATAGGAAAATAAATATAATTAGAAAAAGTAGTTTAGTAAACAATTAATGCTATCCATAATTACAATATGCAAACAAAGAAATCTGGAGGGAACAATTGGACAATAATGAGATTTTAGGTGCTGATTGCAAATTATTTTCTGAAGTAGTAAAAAATAAACTTTCATACATAAAAATGAGTAAGAGAAATAGATGTTTTTTTTAAAAAAAATGCCATTCAACACTTTTAAAAATCTTGCATGAATAAAAATTATAGCCAATATGTAAAGCCAAAAATAGTAATAAATATCACTTTGGGATTTAATAGAGATTCTTCCTCCTTTAAAAGCTCTCCCCCCCCCAGATATGATAGTAATAACCTTCTATTAATGAAGCAAGGATTATGCAGAAAAAAATATTCTGCATCTTTCTACCAGTTCCCATTTAACTGGATGAAGGTGTTGGAAGACATATCCTTCTGGGTTCAGTTCCAAGTGGGGAGAAAGATACTGGAAACATGGTGGCTGATTAGAAAGATGGTTTTTAATGGTGGACAGGACCACATGATTTGAGATCCTGGGCAAAAAGGCACATGGATGGAGAGAGGGATATGTTTATACACTCTTGGGCCCTGCCTTAGAGTTTCCTGTTCCTGTACAAGAAATAACATAACATAACATAACATAACATAACATAACATAACATAACATAAACATAACATAACATAACATAACAAACATAACATAACATAACATAACATAACATAACATAACATAACAAACATAACATAACATAACATAACATAACATAACATAACATAACATAACATAACATGAGTTGGAAGGGACCTTGGAGGTCTTCTAGTCCAACCCCCTGCCCAGGCAGGAAACCCTACACCACTTCAGACAAATGGTTATCCAACATCTTCTTAAAAATTTCCAGTGTTGGAGCATTCACAACTTCTGCAGGCAAGTTGTTCCACTTATTAATTGTTCTAATTCTCAGGAAATTTCTCCTTAGTTCTAAATTGCTTCTCTCCTTGATTAGTTTCCACCCATTGCTTCTTGTTCTACCCTCAGGTGCTTTGAAGAATAGTTTGACTCCCTCTTCTTTGTGGCAACCCCTGAGAAATGTATCCCGTTGGCTGTCAGATTCCCAGGGGTTGAGGGTCTTAGCTAACTTTCTAAGCTGTCTGGGTCCCAGGCTTGGCTGAACCTTGCTGGCTGATGTAATCTTCCCAGGTGCCATGTGGTGAGATGAGTAGAGGGCTAATCCTATCATGTCCTGAGGGCCATGTCTTAATCCCATCACCATAGAGTTGATGGGGGGGGGGAGCTACAGGAAGCTGATTTGTCTTTAAAAACATGTTTCTCCTTTTCTCATCCAAGGAAATATATTTTGCCTGTTTAATATTTCCTAGAATATTTCATTGAAGAGGGTGGGTGCTAATTTCCTACAAAGGTGAATTGCCTTCATTTTTTGTTTCAAGGGAGAGAAACATGTTATGGAAATTCTATTGGGTAGCATGTTATGTTCTTGAATTATTAAGGGATAATACGGCCAAGGGAAGTACACATGTTCTATCTTACAC